CACTAACACTTGCTTACAGCACCTTTCATTCTGTCTGTGTAGAACTTACTGCATTTAGGTGCAATAATGCAAACAGAGTATATTCAGAGTATTCTTTCAAACTAGTAGGAACCTTTTCTTATCATTACATGCTGAATATGCTGTGCAGCATTTGGAGTTGTGGCAGGGTGTTTGTACAGAGAACTGTTGATGATTCTGAGAGTTGTCTTGGTGACAGCCCATTAGAGAGAGAATTGTAGTGATAAACTGCTGGTGCAGCAGACCCAAGGGTCAGCCCTACAGTTCTTGCTTTTTACTTGTAAAGTGAAACCATTATGGGTAAGGTTTGTAGGATTGGGTCCTTCAACAGGGGGAAAAGCTGTCTTTTCTGATTAATAAAGAAAATATAACATCATTCTGGAGTGATCTGAAAACAGTTTTGACAGGCTGTGGTTGGCAAAGATGAGTGACTTAAGATCAAGACAGACTGACATTTGAAAAACGTGATTCCTGCACCTAGAGTATATCTAATAATAGTAGTAGCAAAAAAATGGATACCACATTTATGTCTTGCATTTCAGAATAATACCTTGAACACTTTAGAAAGCTAGTGAGATAATTAGTGTGACAATTTTCCTCATGCTGAGAAGAAAAACAGGGGATTTATATATAAATAATGACTTTCAAGAGGCTGAAAGAGAGAGTGGAATTGAGCTACACAGCTAGATTTGGAAAACATCTGAAAAAGAAGCAAAAGCTACTTTCTGTAAAGTGTCTAGGAGAATTGTTAGAAAATCATGAGAAATGAAATCCTAAAAAAGCAAGTTTCTAAGTGCTGTGCTATATGGTTATTTACTGCACTCATTCCTGATTGGTGAGAGGGTGACCCTTTCACTATGCCAATGAAAACTTGTTCCCAGGGAAAAAGAACTGGTAAGTTTCTAGTAGGAGATGAAAGCATTTTTTCCTTGCTATAAAACTCAGATCCAAGATCATCTGAAATGGAAATGGCAGTACTATAGTAAGTTCTTTCTGATTGTGATATTCTTGAACAATAACATATCTAGTGAAAGAAAGGTAGCGTTCATTTATTCACGATGGCAAGCTTGCAAGGTCTACTTCAAAAAGAAAGTGAAAATAGAAAAAATGCATAAATGGAGGTAATGTGAACTGAAAAAGAAGAGAAAATAGTTTGTAGGTAACATAAGAAGTAAGACTTAATAGAACAATAGTCGACCTTCCTCTCTTTGTTTAGCAGAGAGACAGATGGTGCCACCTTCCCCATACAATTTTAAAAAGTAAACATTTTAATAAATTATGCACACTGTTAGCTTCTCTCTTAAAATAATTTTTAAGATGTCACAGAATCACTCCACATGGAATTGTGTAACATAGCATTCGATTCCTCTCCTAGTCACTATTTTTAATGTATCTAATGGCTTTGATTTTAAATACATCTCCATCTGAAGGTAGTTCAGATACTCCTGTAATTGATAATTTTTCTACAAAGTTAACCAACTTATGTAGCAAATACAGATATTTTTCTTGTCTTCCTAGAATAAAAGTCCTAGAGGCATTAAAACTTAGTAAGAAATGTGAATATTTGATGATAATTTTTATTTAAAAGATTATGATTTATTTGAAGGGTAAATTGAATTTTAAAATAGTAGAAGCATGCTTGTATGACATCCTCAAAGGACTTGAATTTCTTTAAATTTCAAGAAACTTAGTCGTGCTCTATTCATTTCTTAGGAATTATATTACTGGTTTTCCAGAGGTCTCAAAGTGAATATTTTTTTATGGGCTCTAAAATATCTGAACTCAGTGTGTTTCAGGGGAGAACAAAGAATGTATCTTGTAGCTCTCTGAAGAAATCACAAGATTGATTTTGCAGAAGTTTTGGTCCTAAATGGCTGTTGTATTTAATAAGAAACTCTATGAAGTTTTTAGCATGGAAGATCAAAGTAATTACTTAGCTCTTCCAAAATGAAGAAGGGAAAGTTCCAAAGCATGCTAGTTGAAATAACAGGAAGTCTTTATCAAAACATGTGAGACAAATGAGATTCTTAAGACCACCTTTCAGGGTCAGATTCCAATTTTGCATAGTGCTTGCTTGGATTTATTCCATGTTCTCAATTATTATTATGTGTACCTTTTTAGTGTTATTATAAAGAGATTCTTAAAAAAAGAAGAGGAAATTGAAAAGTGGAAAACAAATCCCTTTTCCTGTCGTTCTTCTTGCTTCTCTTCCTCTTCACCAGTTATCGCCTCTGTAACATTGCTTCTTTTCCCCTGATCTTTTTCAGTGTGAGACGGTGTATATTCTTCCAAATAGCTTCTTGAAAGTAGTCCACAGGGGAGCATTTTAACCGATTCAAGTTGTGAGGCAGATTGTGTGAATTGCTCAGTGTGTGTATTTAGGATCACTGTAAAAGTAAATCCCATTCTGCAGCTGTTTTATTTGCTATTGAGCAGTGTGACACCAATAGCTGTTTAGGCAAAGCAAGTCAGTGAAAAAAAAAAAAGAAAGAGTGACTTCTAAGATTGAGGATATTCTCATTATTTGAAGAAATAGCTTTGAATCATAGATCACATAAGTTGGCAGGCACCATCATCTAGTTGGATCCTTCCTGCCAGGGGAAGAGTTGCTGGCCACCAGATCAGGCTGCCCAAGGTCTCAGTTCTTTTCCCAGTCTGTATTCATATCTGGGATTGCCTTGACACAAGTGCAACACCTTGCACTTGCCCCTGTTACATTTCATTATATTCTTGTGTGCCCAGTTTTGAAGTTCAAGTATATTCCTGATTTATTTTCCAGCCCATTTCCTCATGTTTCCAGCTTTAGTTAGAGGATCTGTAGCCAAATTGTAATTCCTTGGACTACACATGTCCATTGCATTTTTTCGGAGACCAAAGGTTTGTAAATTATTTTAGAGCACAAAGAGATGAAGCCTTATCTTAAACAAAATGAAGAGACCTTAAGAAGACAGGCATCACTGCATAGTGAGCACCCTTACCCCCAGATCATCAGATCTGCCCCTTCTCATTCTCAACCTATACTGGTCTGTTAGGTTCTTAAAAGATCTTCAGTGATGGAAATGCTATAAATTCTGCAAGCAGCCTTTTCCATCTGTACTTACTTGGCCTTCTCTGGTTGAAAGTGTTCTAATGTTCTAGTAAAATCTGATATGCTTCAGTTTAAACCCATTTTTTCATTTACTTTTTAGGTCCATCGTTTTGCCTCTTATCCTCGGTGGGATAGGAAAGTAGCTTTCAGTAATTTTCACATATTTGGCTGCAGAGTCTGTTCATTGTTCCCCAAATGATGCAGAGAAGATTTTTTTTTCTCATGGGCTTGGACACTCCTTATCAGTTGCAATACAGAAGAGGAACACCCAAAACTGGACATGCTGTTCCAGCTGTGGGGTTACCAATATAAGTGGACTGAAAAGATTGTTCCACCGTTCTTGCATATTATATACTAGATAATATATCATCAGAAAAGGTTTGAACATTTTTTACAACAAAATGCAGTTGACTCATATTCAGCTCTTTTTGACACCACATTCTTTTCTTTCTCATGAGTCATCTGCTCCATTGTAGTTGTGAAGTTAATTGTTTCACCCACACAAAATACTTTTTACTTGCCAAACTGAGTTACACCCTACTTTTTTAGACTAGCCAATCTGTCAGAATTATTTGAACTCTAATCCTGTTCTTCCAGTGATTGCAACTACTCCCAACTTTGTGCCATCTGAAAGACTTGATAAGTTTTTGCTGTCTTCCATCATTCAAAAAACACTGAATGATTCTAGAAGCAGAAAAAACCATATGAACCACTTCATCCATCTGTCCATTTTGACAGTAAGCCATTGATAACTTTTCTGAATACAATTTTCAACATCGTCTACGTGCCTTAAATTAGTTTTTTAGTAATTCTCTTATCTCACTTTTAAACTACGCTCCTGTTTGACACATATCATTGTTATCCATCATAGCATGCTGAAAGTGATTATGGTTTTGTTCTATGTTTCTGGGTTGAAATGGAGCAGGTTGCATGTTCTATGAGTTAATGTTCTGTGTGCTGCATACCTATTAGTATTCAATGCGTGGAATTGTTTTTTAAAAACAGAAACTTTATCTTTGATTCAGCCTCTATGAAAAATTTTATGATTAAGACAGTAGATAGGAATATTGAAATTACAGATTGTGTTAGTATTTTCATCGAGAAAAAATCCCAAGTTTTATTCTTTAAAAGTTACATGCTGGAATTCTGATGCAGATGCTTTTTAAGGTATTTTAATCTTTCTTTTATCTTTCATGCCATAGACAAGGGGTGTAGAGTTTTATACATCAAATGACAAATTAAAATACAAGCCTAGGAAAAAATGATCACTTCATTGAAATAGTTAACTTGAGTTAACTTGAGTCTTAAAGTAAAATGAAGAACAGTAAATGTGGCATCTTTTTAATAAGTCCTTTGTAGGCCTGGTTTTACAATGTAAATTATAGTGTTGGTTTTTTAAGACATAAAATAAAAACAGTAAAACTGTCTGCCTAAAAACAATAATGGAAAAAACTTCTAATAGGCTTAATACAAAACTAATTGAAATAATGTTTCAGGTCTACTAAGGAAAAAAATTAACGTAGACCAAATTCTGATGGCAAGCTCATTTAAAAGTGTGAATTGCAGGGTGGATCATTATTATTCCTAATTTTTTAATTCTATGGGAAAATGATTGATTTCTGTGAGGGATAGGAAAGGAACCAAAGTGTTTATCAAGGAAAAAGATTCTCAGTTTTGACTATAATTTCCTTGCCTTTTTAATTAAATCAAAGTAAAAAACCACTAATACACTGTTTTAAAAAACCTGAATTTCTTCTTTGTCCTTGGAACTAAAAGACAACTTAACTGGACCTTTAGTGTTTTTATACCAAAATTTACTTATGTACATAAAATTACCTGCAAAAATGAATTTGGATCTCTAGCTGATGATCTTCTTCCCCTGTCCTTATTCTAGCTATAATTAAGACAGCTCTTCCCAACATGGACAGAGAAGCCAAAGAAGAATACTTTGTGGTTATCCAAGCAAAAGACATGGGAGGACATATGGGAGGACTTTCTGGAACTACAACGGTGACAATTACACTCACTGATGTTAATGACAATCCTCCTAAGTTTGCACAGAGTAAGTGCCATTACGTATATATATTCTCTTTTATAGGAATGTTATATAGCACTTTTCATAATTGTTTTTAATCTAGATTTTTTTTTAATCATCATATTGTCCGAGTTTGTAATGTAATTTAAAAATATGTAGCTGGTACCAGAGAAAGATTAATAGTCCTTTATCTGATTAATAGCATAAGGAAGGAAGGGATTATGCCCATTACAATGTACACAGTCCTCTGTCTTCCTTCTTATCTCTTATGTATACATACAAAAGGCCTCGGGTTGTTTTTTTTTCCATTTTTTTTTATTATGGTGGTTTTCCTTTCAGTGCAGTTTTAGTTGCTTTTATATGTGCTTCCATCTCATGCACACAAAGGACAGTACCAGTCAAAGACATATGTAACTGATAAAAAGAAAGAAAGATTTGACTAATTAGGTAACAGTGAAGAAAACAAAATAAGTCTGAATCTAGATAATTGTTGATGTCTAATTCAAAATCCATATTTACTTCTGTGGTTCCAATACGTATCTTGCTGGGCCAGGTTAAAATGATTTGGCATCCTGCTGAGATTCTCAACAAGCTTTGTAGTCTATTTCAAAGATGAAGACAAAAAGAAAAATAGAAAAGGAAAGAGCATAATGACTGGTTCGATTTTGTTTGGAACAGGTACAATCTAATATGCTATCAGAAACTTACCTTGTTATCCAATTTGTTCTGAAAAAACTTGTATAATATTAAGAGTCCGTATTGGGTTAGGAGAGTGTTTACATCTCAACTTTGTGTAATTTTTTCTTTTGTAGAAGCATATTTTTCTAACAAGGTACTTATACACCATATGTAAAATTATTTCTTCTCCATAAGTGCATCAATTAAAGTCCACTTTTGTGGTGTTCTGAAGGCACAAAGAGAGAAATGGACTTGACTCATTACTCAGCATGTGATAAATGTTAACCCCATAAAAAAGCACATAAAAATATGTACAGAGAAGGATTATAAAATAAATAAGCAGAGGTAAAAACTATTTGCAAAAAAAAAGGAAAAAAAAGAAAATTAACTCATTGAAGTGTTTTTTAACAGATAACAACTCTATGCACAGTAAATGGTTTTCTCTTTACAAAAGATGAATGCATGTATTTTTTATTCTGAGAATGCATGGCTTGCACTTGTGGAGTAGTGTTTTTCAACACATGATGACAAGTCCCCTAATAACATACACATCTAAAGATGAGATTCCTGGTTGAATCATATCACCAGAAAGCAGAGGAACACTTCTTTTACACCTGCAGCGTACAGTAGCTCTACCTGTGATTGTGGATCTACTTCTACCAACTTGCCTGGCTTTTGTATTTGTATCACTACCTTCTGTGTGAAAAAGCCTTTGCCAGCCAGTTTGAAAAAAGCTGATCAAAAAGTCAGCAACAGAAGTGATGCTAGTTGGTACATTTGCTGAAGGGCTCAGCAGGAAGCACAGGATTGAATGCATATGGAGATAAAACTGTATTTCCCCTGTGCAGTTTACTCATATCTGTTCTCCTATAGTTTGCATACAGTGACATGTTGACTGGGTAGGATGAGGAAAGCTGCATCACAAATCCCTGAAATATATTTTCTGCATGGAAAATGTAGTTTAGTTTTCCTTCAACAAAGAGTGAATTGCTGTCTTCAAAGCTGTTATAGCAAGTGGGTTGCGGCATAGAATTCAAACTGCCATCTAGGAATAACAACTTTGTTACAATGCTGATGATTGTAAAACTTCATTAGAAAAAGAAAATTGTGTGTACTATGGCTTTATAATATGTATATAATGCATTTAATGAGAGCATGCTGTAGTAAATTCTATAAGTAGATCCTATTACAAATTCTGCTTTTAAAACTGAGTATTCCAAGCATGCTGCCAAACGTTACAGATTAGTCATGATTCTAATCTTGCAGAAGATCTGATCAAGTCTGTAACATTTTTTACATTGTTAAAGCACAGTTTGCATTTGCCTGGAAAGGAAAATAAGAAAGGATCAAACTTACAATAGAGTCTAACCAGAATGAAATAGAAATTCATAAGATGTAATACATGCTGCTTTCACAATAAATTGTAATGAACTCAGAAAGCAGTGTGTTTTATAGGTTTATTGTTTCCAGGCAGGACAGAAATGTATATTTATAGTTAGATTTCAAAGAGTGTTAGCCTCCTGGGTTTTAGAAATGAAGAAGATGAACTTTCACTACTTCTATGATCTCTCTAAAATCACTTTAGAGGCATTTTAAAAGTCGTTGAAGTTTTTAACCTGGCAGTTTACCATAGATTATACTGAGAAGAAATGTGAACTGCTGTGAAAATCAAAGCTTTTCAGAGACGCATAATGTTTATTTTTGGTCAGCTCTGAACTGTGATATCTTGACAGAACATTTCATAATACTTGAGAATAGTTTATGTAAAAGAGTCACCTGCATCATAATAATAATATTTTTACAGTACTTTGTAAGCTATATTAATAAATCTGAGAAAAAATGTATCAACCAAAAATGCAGCCACCTGTCTGGAGAGTTAATCCACAAATCATGGGTAGCAGCATAAATTACAATACATAATTTCTTCTACAGAGGCGCTTTCTGTACTAGGGCTGCTTTACCAGCTTCCTGTTAGTGAGCCATTCTGAATGTTCTGGAGCAATTTTGATAGTCTCCAAATTATCTCCAGTAGTTTAGCCTAGAAACTGAAATGAAACAGAAATCACCTTAGAAAAGGCTATACATAAAGCTCATGTATTGATTTGTGCATTTCTTATGGTTTCTTTCCTACTTTCTACTGTTGCTGTGGTAATCAGCCCACAAACACTTTAAACGAAAGCATTGGAAAACATCTGGTTTTAGAAAACTTGCAGTTGCACGTTGTAAGATTTCATAGAACTTCTGTGACAAAAAAAAACAAGTCCAGCTTCAAAGTGTGTTGATATTGTTCTTAACAGTCTTACCTCCCAAACTTCAGTTCTTTATTGATTAATTTAGCTACTAAGTATCACTGCAGTTGGTTGGATTGTATATTAACCATCACATCATTAAGACCAAATTATCAAAAGTTTTTTAAAAAAGGCATTTTGTAAAACTTTTTTAATGTAAAACATGCATGTGCCTTTTTAAGTCAGATGGGTTAAAGAGTGTGGTACAAAAAAAAAATTGCTGAGGATTTGAACAGCCCTTTCTATCAGACTTTAGTCAAAATCTGCAAATAATACATGCAGTAATCAACAGAATGAGAAGTTATTGTTTCTTTTACAGTATAAAGTTGGTGGCTTTCCTTGAACATTTATTGAGTAATTTTTACTACAGAAGTGACATAGAAAATGATTGAAGCCAAAACCAGATCAAAGTAAAAGTTAAGGGTAAAAAGGTTAATAAAGATCAGAAATTGTAAATGACATCTTTACAGTACTACTGTGTAAAAAACCAAAGTTTTGTATTTGAGTTCCATCAAAACCATAGCTGCAAGCCTGTAAATACAAAGGTAAGTTCACCAGTACCTGCAGTATATGACATATGACATATTTGTGGTGTTGAAATTAGCTTAATATTTATGTTCAGCAACAGTGAGCATCCGTGCAATAGGAGGCAGAATGCAATTGTAATGAAAAGAACATTCATGTGCAGTAAACTGAGTATTCCTATGAAAGAAACACGTTTTGCTGCTTTCAGTAAAGAACTGCTGTAAATATGATTTGTATCATTTGCACATCTCAGGAGTTTGTATTGGGGAAATATAAACAAATGAAGAGCACACCAGAGATACTGGAATCAGATGTAATGTTTAGTCTTTTCCTCTTATTCTTAAGGTCTGTATCACTTCTCAGTAATGGAAGATGTTGCTCTTGGTGAACCCATAGGAAGGGTGAAAGCAAATGACCTGGATATTGGAGAAAATGCTAAATCATCGTATGATATTATTGAGGGCGATGGAATGGATATATTTGAAATCACTACAGATGCTCAAACTCAAGATGGCGTTATTAGAGTGAGAAAGGTAAATTTTATCTCTTAAATAAAAGTTTATTCCAAGACTATGGGAACGTGCTGGATTTCCAAAGGTCCTTTAATCTATGAACGAGATGTCAAACCACACTGATAAAAGTAGGGATGTATAAGCAATGTCCATCGGAGCTGCTGTTTAGGTGGCAGCTGGGAAGATTTCCATGGCAGTATTTTCTATTGTGGGCATGACTGAATCTGCTTTGGGCTTCCTGAGTCCAGCCACTGCTTCATGTGCTCAAATGATAATGTTTTTCTTCCTTGGTTCTGAAAGGGAAGAGTGTATCAGAATTTGCCTAGTTGGTGATGTAAATTTTCATAAAATCTTAGATGACTACTCATCAAATGCTTCTCTCACTTATTTCATTTGTTATACTGATCAAATACTGCTTAGAGAAAAAAAATGTATCATACCTTATTATGTAAATTGCCCGATGTATAATAGGCTCAGTCTTCTAAATTTTATTTTGTTGAACTCTATTTGCTCAAGAAATAGTGATTTCAGTGAACCTTTTCAATTTTAAAATGAGGACTGCCAAATTTGGGCCTGAGGAAAAACTACATCTCTGTTTCCTTTTCTATGCTTACAGTCTTAATGTATGTGCGGTGTGGTATTTACGTGTACAGAACCAAAGGGGCATCCAATTATATACATAAATATTGTGGGATACAGCAAATCTAGAACACAATGTGGCTAGTAAGGTCAATGATATAGTAATTGCAGGACTGATTTTTATTATTTTCTGTGGAAGGAGAGCAGAGCAGATACTCATGCTGTGTTCTAAGGAAGGATTTGAGTATAACTCATAGTGCTGGTATGAAGAGTTTTAAATATGTAGCATAAAGCACAGTAAATGATTCCTTGTTTAAAATAAATAAAAACAAGTGAAAAAGAAAACATGACATCCCAATACAAAAGAGGAATCCAGTGAGTACTGCTAACGAATATTCAAGTTTTACCTGTGATTAAAGAGGTCAGACAGAATAGCTGTCAGAAGTTTATGCTGTCTGTTTCTCAGTGAGGCAGTTAGCACCCTAGAAAAATAATAATATGGTGTATATCTAAATTTAGATCTGTTTTCATAAAGAGTAAATGATGATATACATCCCTGATCTTCCTTATTGTGATTTATCGTATGTTGTGGTTTCCTTTCTAAACTAAGGCAATTAGCCTTTTGCCCCAGTTCCCTTGACTTCATTTCATAATACGTCTCTAGATAATGTTGTTTCAAATATTCATTTTGACGGCAATTTGGTTCTACCGCAGTAGGTGATGTATGCAGGGTATTGTTCACCAGTAGAATTTCTCCAGCACAAATTTGTGGGTTTTAGACAATTCAGAGTAAATTTTCGATATGGTAGTCTGATTAGGAATGGCTACATGTATTGAGGTGCTGTCATTTCTATAAAGCATGTGAAATGCAATTGAAGAAATGATACAGGAGCTATGATTGGCAAATTGTGAATATTGGATTTATAAATCACAATTCATAAGTACTAAAGCTTGCTAATTTAAGACCTACTAAAGAAGCATGGTTTTCTCATGTTTACTAGAGTTTGTGTGAAAGAGCAAATCCCATTAGAATTAGATTCATACCTGAAAAAAAAAAAAATCAACAAAATCCAAAAGTACACATATTTAATGCTTTGACAGAAAGATTTGCTTTTCCTATTTGTGTTCTTGCTGGTATTTGCATTGCAGATTCAGAGTTTCTATGTCTTTTTCTTTCTATCCCTGGGACATTGTAATGCAAATCTTAATATCTTTCCAGTGCTTGGCAATTTGCATCTTTGAAACTTGAATCATTGTGAGACACAAGAGAATAATACAGTGAATATACTGGTGTGCTTCAAGATACAAACTTGAATCTCATATAATGAAAAATTCTATAATTCAGAACTGTTGCAGATTTGGTTTTTATTTGGCATTTCGTTTCTTTAAATCCACTGTGTTTTCATCTTCTCTGTTTTAATATGTGGCTGTAAAATAGTAAAAACAGTGGTGACATGGCAGATATATTGGTAGAATAAAGTAATCAGTTTCGTGTTTCTACCTCTGAAAAAAAATATAGCATGTAGAAATAGGAATTGCTACAGTTGGAAGAAATTCATGAGAGATGTCTTCCTCATTTACCCTTTTAAACAGAAATGCAGAGTTATCTGAAGTGTAATAATATTGAAGTACATTCTTATATGATTAGCTCTGAGTTTTTCCATCTAATGCCTCTCATGTCCAACAAATTATAACTGCTAGATATTTGCCTTTCTTATGTAGTTCTGGAAATAATTAAATATTTATTCCTCATGGCAATAATATCTCGTATACAGTATTTTCTTATCTACAACTAACAAAGCACTGATTAAATGCATGATTATTATGCAAGTCACATCACCACCAACAAATTTGCTCTATTTATCTGGTATGTAATTGTAGTAGTATAATTCATGAAAGAGAGTATTGTGATAAGTTCATAGTGAAAAGCAAGAAAACAGAGTCTTGTTTTCTTTGAGGCTGGTTAATAAACAAGTATCAATATATGCCTAGAAAATTTGCCGTTTGGATTTTTGGGAGTAGGAAGTGGTTGCATAAAAACTCACTGAATGTGCTTAGATGCACATAACTTTCATCCATCAGCATTATATTAATTTGCTCTTTCTCTGCGGCCATTAGTAAAAGACATTTATCTTTGTCATTCTTAACAGCCCCTGGACTTTGAGACCAAAAAATCCTATACTCTGAAGGTAGAAGCAGCCAACATTCATATTGATCCTCGCTTCATCAGTGGAGGACCTTTCAAGGATACAGCAACAGTAAAAATTGTAGTAGAGGATGCTGATGAGCCACCAGTCTTTTCATCACCTACATACCTACTGGAAGTGCATGAAAATGCTGCTATTAACTCTGTGATTGGTCAGGTGACAGCCCATGACCCTGACGTGTCTTCCAGTCCTATAAGGTAGTGCTGCTCTGAAGTTCTCATAGAAAAAACTGCTGGCAGAGTACTAAGTATATTTTTGTATACACTGTATGTATGATGCTGTTCTTCATCTGTTTTCATTCTATAAAATACTTGTATAAGATTTCATCGCCTTATGAATTTAGACGTATCAGTTTGTATCATTTTCAAAATCACAAAAATATTCCTTTCCACACAAATAATCTTACCAAACAGTAGGAATGCAATGAAATTAAAAAATAAGGGGTAAGAGGTCTGATAGGTTGAATTTTCAATGTATTTATTTTAAATAATCTGCTAGTTTCTACACTAACAATACTGAGTTTGTTCCATGCAGCTGTAAGACTGTAAAATCATATTCAGTATTCATTTGACTAAACTCTTCCCTGGTTTTGTTAAAGGAAATCAGAAATTATGATGCCCATATGACTTTTGCACTTTCGTTTTGTATGATTTCCCTTGTTATCTATTTTGAACAAAACCTGTTGTTCCAGTTTCATTAGATCTGTGTCATTTGTCTCATTTCCATGATAACACATCTTACCCTCCCATTTTGTTAAACAGTGATGTGTCTGTTACCAAACCATATTTTATTTCCTATGCATTGTACTGCAAAAAGCATTATGAAAACAAACAGCATAGCATCATATTTATAGTAAAAGTAAATTTGGGGGAAAAAAGGTGTACTGATGTAGTTAATAATTGGTTAGTGGTCTTATTCCAGTATATGCATTTCAGAAGCATGTGTTGTCGTGTCTCCAGGCTCACCTCTTACTGCATATAGACTACATGCATCTCCCTTTGGAAAAGGACACAGTGAATTCTCAGCTGAGCTACTTGTAGAGCTTTGCTGTAGTTTAGTAAGGGTGGTAAATTCTGGCTTATTGTGTAATAAGGCTTGAAAGATTATCATCTATTAGCATACAAATCTATTGATTCCAGTAGTATTTATTTCATGTTTCTGTTGTTATTTTATAACCATGGTCTTTTTATCTGCAGTAAATTATCTTGGATAAAGCTTGATCCAAGTGCGTTAGCAAAAAGCATGAGTAATAATCGTTCCTCCTATGCTGTCTCTGCCCTCCTATAAATCACGGCCTTTCAGTGTCTTTCTCTGTGGAGAGATAAGCTTCACAGTGGCAGGTTTTCCCCATTCATATTGGAAGAGATTTCATCTCCAGCAGTAGTGGATCATTTTCTTAATTCACAGCAGTCCTTAAAAACCTAGATTCTATATTTTCTGCCTCTGTAACAGCACAGCCATTTATCTGTCACTAAGTAGCATGTCCTGTCTGCCTGTCATTAACTGACAGTGGTGATTAAACACTGACAATGTAGCAGTCTTCTGATTTGAATCTCAGTAGATGCAGCAAAAATAGTTCTTGCTCTTATGTACATTTGTGCAAATAAAGAATAGACCAAAATAAGTCATAACAGCAGTATTAATACTGCAGAAGGACTGAGAATCACTTAAAGTCTTCTGTTAAACCACTTTGGAGTTGTTCCTATAATTGCCATACCAGATCCATAAACTAACTCAAACTTCTCAATAACTTGTGCTGGTTTTATGGCAATTTGAGAACAGATATTATGTCCCAAGATATTCTTCTCTCATTTTTAGAGAAATGTACATTTTATGTTTAGCTTATGGATCTGACAATACGCTCTCATTAAAAAGAGTTATAATACAATTAGCATGAAAAGGAAACTGCGAATGTATTATTAGTTTTCCCACATTTATGACTTGGCAGATTTTTTATTTTGTTTTATTTTATTTTATTTTGTACCAAATATTTATCAAATTGAAATCAGGAGAGGATTTTACCTCTTCGTGGTCTTGTAAACCTGAGTAACTGATGTTACAAAAGTTTCTTTTCGAATGCTGTTTTTGCATTGTGAATACATACTGTTGGGATGAGATAAAGTGCAGTACAACAAACTCACAGATGTTATGCTCACACCTCTGTAACTTCAGAAAATGTACTGCAAGGAAGACTGCGAATGGAAGTTTAAAAACACACTGACTCTTGGAGAAAAAATGTGTCTTAATGGAATTTACATCAAGCCCAAGTCAACTAAATAGCATATAAGCATTTCATGTTTTATTTCATTTATGGAATGTAAGAATTTCATAAAAGTTTGTTACCAGAGCTGTGGTAGTCATTTCTGCAGCCTTACATAAACTGCAAGAACTAAAAAATTAGTTTTATGTAATGATATCTTTAAAATAATTATCTCAATTGCTGTCTTTGTCTAATTTTCTTGAATGAAATTTTAGACCTGTAAGTTTAAACATATAATTATGTAAGATATTTTTTTGTACTAACTTTACTAGTATCACAGTTTCCACTTGTAATACTTACCTAGGAACTAAGGAGACATTAAAGTAAGGTTAAGATACGTCTTCAAATGTGATTGCCTAAGGTTAGGCACCTGCAGCTTTATTCCTCCACAGAAGTGACCTCATTTTCAGAACTGCTGAGGATAGTACAGTTTGTATGAAACTGTTGAGTACTGAATGTGTGAAGTTCTCTAGAAAATCAGTTTACTTGAATGTCCAAATATGTGTGTGCCTAGCTTTAGGCACATACACTTCAAATTAGAATTCATATTTTTTATCATACTTTTTTATGAAATACCTCATTTTTAAGAGTAAAATTTGTTCTTCTGATAGTTTAAAAACAGAAAACTTCAGTGTGTAGCAAATCAAACTTCCTAGTTAAATGGGTTTTCATTCTTAAGTCCTATCACACCTCACCAGTGTGGTTATGCTAGCCTTGCTAATAAACACAGTCTTTAAACATTTACACCATAACTTTGAACTAATTTTTGAAAGTGAGTTGTATTTAAAATGCATTGCACAAACATCTAAATGCAACATTCTTTGGCTCTGTTTCGGCTGCATAATTTACCTAGAAATTTACATTTGCAAACTCTGACTACCAGTCAGAGAAAACTTGTTTTCTTAAAAAACAGTGATGTCAATCTATAAAACAGTCACTCCTTCAGCATTTCAAGTGTTCTACAGGTAAGCAATGATTCACTGACTGACTTCTGCCCATGGAGCCACTTGATTTGTACCCAAATAATTGGTGTGGTGAATAGTTCACAGATCATTACTCTGAAATTTATTATTGAAATAATATTTTTCATCCTTTTTAAAAATAACCATGAAGTCCACTATTTTTGTGTGCTTAATGCATTACACTTGAAATTATCAGCAGTTACTGTGAAATGTCATAGAAACTGTCTAATAAATATGATGGATTATGTAATTACCTCTTGATCAGCACTGTCTTTCAAAGATGTTACCTAGTGAACCTGAGGGCATTTTATGACCTTCATACTGGTTCCATACGGCTAATCACTCCTTGGGCAATAATTGATAAGTTTTTTAGTCTGAGTTTGTCATATTGTCTTATAAATTATTATTCTATTGAGCTTTTCAATCCATTTGGCTATAAAACTGCAGATCTCAGAGGGCTCCATAAAATGTATTGTGATTGTATGGATTCATTAACTTCATTAAGTAGATTACAGGGATGTGTATTTTGCAGGTTTTCCATTGATCGTCATACTGACCTTGAGAGACAGTTCAACATTAATGCAGAAGATGGAAAAATAACGTTGGCAACACCACTTGACAGAGAAACAAATATGTGGCACAATATAACGATTGTAGCTACTGAAACTAGTAAGTATTTGTATATACTGGAGTTTGGTTCGTTTTATTGCCATTACTTCTAATAGTGTGTGCAGTGGAAACAATACATAACTATAAAAAGTGAAACTGAATTTTTAAGTACAACTTTTTTTTTTTTTTTTTTTTTTTTTTTAAGAGAGCAATTTCTGCTGAAGGTCTGTTTCTTTTAGCTCTTCAAAACTGCGTTTGTTTCAGTGAATAAAGTATATAGAGTTTGAAGAGATACATGATGACATTTGTAGAGGTTTTATAGGGTAAATGAAGAAAAAAACGTCACAGTGAGTTTTTATTATAAGACAGAAGAAATAAAGCTTTGATACTGTGGAAGTAGAGCATAGATTCAACCCACAGTTTCTTTACACTGAAAAATATTTTGTTTCAATACAATAAATGATTAAGTACATGGGTAATAGTGAATGAAAGTAGCTCTCTTTGATGCCTATGAATAAATTACACAGCTGTAGACAAGAACACGCATTATTGAGACTGATCAGTATTCTCAAGCCAAGGCATGAGCCAGGAGAGTTACCCTGCCTAGGAATATGGGTCCTAGATTTGTAATCCAGAAGAGTTCTTGATTAATTCATGCTGTTGGCAGGCTCTGATAAGCCACCATAATTTACGATTAATATTAGCTCTATATTTTATACTATAAATTTTGCAGTCATAGCGCAGCAAAAAACGGATTCTGGAAGTAGGTCTGTCATCTGTCTGAAACACAAAACTAAGAAAATATTTCTGCTAAAGTATTTATTCAGCAATCAGTATATATAATTCTCATAAGAACGTGCACACTGGACACATTGTTGTGAGAATAATTAGAGCTTGATGAACTGTGCTGCTAATCCTTGCATATAGAAAACAAGATGATTTTGATGCTTTCTTTTCACCCAGAGTATCTTTTTTGAGTATATAGTGTTATGATCCAAACTTTTAGTGCTCAATATCATAGTGCTGTACCTATGAACATATGAATGAATGGGAGAATAAAAGCTGCTTACTTGGCTCATATTGGATGATTACTTTTCCAATATTTTTTGATGGTACTTGCTTTTAGATACAAACATGTTAGGAATCTGTGAGGGATAACTGAAATGCATGTATATATGAGAGAGAGATGTCTGAATATAAAATAAGCTCTCCATTTATAACCTCTGTAAACTGTGATCTATCTTAATAATCTGTGCATTTCATTGCTAACAGTGCAATAATACCAACAATGCTTCAATAATTATTATTAAATCTTATGTGTAAACACTATCTTGATAAATTTGTGACAATACTGGCAGGAAAGCCAAAGCAAGACAGTTAATTAAATTGCATAAAGAAAGAAAGCAAGCTCCAGTTTTCTTAAACTGGCAGTTTAACAATTGCCAAATTGATATCAAGCCACTTAATAATTCAGCTAGTTTTGAAGGAGAAAGGTATAAAAAGCTCCATGCCAGTTTTCCCAAGACTTGAGCAATCTCGGATTGTAGGATTTACCAATAGCATCAAGAGAAGGATTGTTAATCTGTAATTCAAATCATTTGAGACATCAAAAGATGTAAAGTGAAGTAACTTTAAAAGTTACTTCCAAAAGTCTGAAAAGGAAAAAATAAAAAGAATAATTTTTCAAGAAAGTAATCCAATTCACTTCTTTGACCTCCTTTATATGCGTGTACCAGAACAAAGTTAACAGAATTCCACTTTTCTAAGTCAGATCAGAATAAAGTCTGCCTTCTTCAGATTTAAAAAATGTAATTGTATTTAAGAATTATTATTGTATTCAAAAAGTAAGCCTTATCATTAAACTTTGTTGAAGCCTCAACACCTATCAGTGTTGTAAAATTGCTTCTTTTCAGACTGGCTATGAAAATAATAATGCCAATTCAGAGCTAAGCTTTTTGATTGAGTTGATTGAGTTGGGTTTTTATTGTTGTTTTGGCTTTGTTTTTACATTCCCAATATGATTATCTGACCTTTACATAATACAAGAGCTGAATTTCATAGACTGCTATGTCTGCTTCTTTAAAAGACAATACTATAAACTCCTGATGCAGAAACTAAATGTGTTCATAGAATTGTAAAGCAGGGTAAAATGGTCATTTTCAAATTTTTTTACAACACAGTAATAAGCAAGATCTCTGCTATAAAATAGCAGAAATCTGTTAAAGGCAGACACAGGCAGCAAATGAAAATACAAACAGTGTCATCTCTATGCTTTTACTGAGAGTAACATTAATGTACTGCTTATCTCTCCCATAAATATATCTCTATCGTTCATACAGGAGCATTTTCTCTTCCTTACCAGGCTGCTTTCCAGGTTCAGTTCAGGGCTCACCTCTATTCATACAGGCAATGATTGGACCATTTCATTGCCATCATAACTGCTTACCAATCATAAGTAGTGGGGTTTTTTTTCATCATGATTGCCAACACAGTGGGCATACATCCTGACTTATCAACGCTTTCATAGATAGACACCAAGTATTGCCAAAACTTAAATAATTTTTTTGGAACTTTGTGCTGGTACATTTTCTGCACCTACATTTGTGCCTTAAGAAAGATTTTTGAAGTTTTCTGCTGTCAGCTTTACAGAGCTATTCTTTTATATCAACCCTTAACCACTGTCCTGAATTGGAATCTTTCTGGATGAGATTGCTCTGGATGGACTGAGATTACTTCTGCATTTTCAGAAGTTACCTCATTTAGCTTGAGGATGGAGAGATTAAAATTCAGATGATTTTTAATGTTACTTGATTTTATTCTTTCTGAGTGCCCAGATGGTAGTCTAAACCTTCCTTGTCTAGCAAAACTAGAAGCAGAAACTAGGAGCAGAAAGCATGAGCTAATGGGGACTTTTTAATGTAAGTAGTTAGCAGGCAAAAAAGTGATTTAGTTTATTTCCATTCACAAGAACATTTTCTATTCACAGGCAAGCATCTTTCTAGCTCTAATTCAAATATATTTGTACTACTGGTGTCACATATAGTATTACCTTCCTATTCTGAGACCTGTGCAAAGTGGTAGATTTTGGAAGCATTTTCCTGCTTTTTTCCCATCATTGGAAGACACCTTCTAGCCTCTGTGAAGTGATTTCTGGTTGCTTTCATTGTATAGAACCATAGAATACTTGAGTTTGGAAGGACCTTTAAATGTCATCTAGTTCAACTCCCCTGCAATAAACAGGGACACCTACATCTCCATCAGGTGCTTGGAGCCCCATCCAGCCTGACCTTGTGTGTCTGCAGGGGTGGAGCATCTATCATCTCTCTGGACAACCTTTGCTAGTGTGTTATTACCCTCGTAATAAAAAATCTTTTCCTTATAACCAGTCTAAAACTCCCCTGTTTTAGTTTGAACCCATTTCCCTTTGTCCTATCACAACAGTCCCTGCAAAAGAGTCTATCCCCTTCTTTCTTATAGCCCTCACTTATATAATGAAAGGCCATTATCAGGTCTCCCAAGAGCTTTCTCTTCTCCATGCTGAATAGCCTCAGCTCTTTCAATCTGTCCTTGTAAAGGTGTTCCATCCCTTGGATCATTTTTGTGGCCTTCCTCTGGATGTGCTGCAGCAGATCCATGTGTCTCCTGAGGACAACACATCTGGACACACTACTCCCGGTGAGGTCTCACCAGCTCAAAGCAGAGAGCAGGAGCACCTTCCATGACCTACTGGCCATACTTTTTTTGTGCACTTGACCCCACTGATGATATCATTGATAACGATATTAAAGGGCCACAGTACTCACCCCTGCGGGGCACCACTCGTCACTGATCTCCATATTTAATGTAAATTACAGAATCACAGAATCACAAGGTTGGAAACGACCTGCAAGATCATCTAGTCCAACCACCCTCCCATTCCTATCAGTACCACAAGCTACTAAACCATTTCTCTTAGCTCCTCATCCAGGCGCCTCTTGAACACTACCAGGGATGGCGACTGCACCACCTCCCTGGGCAGCCATTTCAGTGCCTGACCACACGTTGAGAGAAAAAGTTTCTCCTAATATCCAATAAATAAATGCAAATAAATCCCTACATTCTTCATTATATATTTAAATTAATATTTTCTTGTTTGTGGTTTGAATTTTTTTCTCTCTGTCCATGTAGTGACGCCATTATATTGATGAATTATATCACAGGATTGGTAAGAAAAGGGAATTGTTAAAAGAACCTTGACCTCTTTGAAAAATGACTCTGAAATACAACTTAGAATTCACTGAAGAAATACACAGATTAATGCTTATTGCAAGAGAGATATCCAAAATTATTAAACCTTTGAATTGATTCTTAAATTTTCTTTCTACATTGGCATGCAGCCAAGTTTACCCTGCTGAACGAGTCTAGAGTGTGAGTATCTAGGAGATCACAGCATATATGAAACAGGCTCACTGGCAAAATGACTCTTCCTTTGAATATACCTTCTGATCTGTGGATGTGAGAGGTGAACTTTATTTTCAGTCGCTGATTGGATTTTAAATACTGAATTAATGAGATTTTTTGTTGTTGTTGTATGGTTAGGACTTATATGACTGAAGGCTAAGGAGCTTAAAGTTGTTTGCCACAGTTGTGAGGTTTTTTGAGCTGGATGCTTGAGAGAACGATGAATGGATATAGCCTTGCCTTGTAAGTCAGGGCTGAATCTACTTCTCATATGTTTGGGCCCTCTGAAGCTAAGTCCTGAACAGAGAAAAAATCTGTGGGCATACACAAGTAGTCTGAACTGCAGTGCAGTAAGTATGAATGATTAACTTACAGACATTTCTTTTGTTGTCATTTTTTTTAAATGTATGTATGTCCACAAAGGCATATCACATTTTTGTTACTTGGTACTTTTTTGTAATGGAATTTCTGGCATTCAGGAAAGTCTAGAAAAGTGAGGATCCATATAGTCATATGTAAGCCTACTCATCTGAACACATAAATACAGCTTTTAGTTTGTATAAGGTAAAATTACAGCTGTAACTACTGTTCACATTGACATGCTTGTGTTGCTTGCATTA